CCGGTACCTTTTATGTTTTAAAGTGCAATGTTCGTATGTATTGGCAGCTTTAATGTTTGTGACTGTTGTATACTACAGTATCATAGTTTAACAAAAAATAAATTCATGGCGACTTTATGTTTAAATTTGAAACTGATTCTAAATCTGCATATAGTTTACGAGATTTCATACTCGTGTTTTTAGCATAGATGAAGTTTATGTGTTGATAATTATAAATTATGTATAATGTGCGTATAGTGAAACATCAAAGCTTAAGTATAAGTATTCACATATAAAGTGAATTTTTGTTGGCAATTCATTTATATTCTGTTATATTTTAATGTTTTTAATTAATCCAACATATAAGTCTTTAAGTTTCTATATAGTTTAATTGATTCGAATAGTTTTACTGCTTATCTTCTATAAATTGTATTAATCTGATAGGGGAGTTGTTTACATGGGCTTATGCCCGCTCAGCAACCATTACCTGTACTTGCTTTTTTTGTTTCTTTGTTCCATTTACTTGATTGAATTGTGTATGTAATCTATGTTACAAGTGAAATAAATTTGATTTTATTTTGATTTGTATGGAAACATTACACATATAAACTGCAAAGATACCGGGAATTAGATATCTTAAAAATAATAAAAATATTGTTTTTTATACAATTTAACAATGTCGTTATAAGTTGCTCTCTCGCCAGCTGTTATGTAAATGATTCTACGCGGTGCAACCAATAAAGAATTGAAAACGCAGGATGTTTACTCTTTTAACATGCACTTGCTGGATTAATACTCGTATATTAAAGCTTTGGTTTTTTAGGCAATGCGCCAGGCATGTGCTTGGTGTGGGGAATTGTTGAGTTTTTTCTTTTTATACCTTTACCTGTTTTTAATCATTACATTAATTTTCTGGTTGCTTGTTTGTCTGAGAAATGTCTAATAAATGTATCATTCAGTTCAAAAGGAAGCTACTTTACTAAAGGAATAAAATGTTAATTCTGCGCGTTCATAAAATATAGGTTATAGACATTTTCTAGTGTATCGTATTTCATGTAAGATATGTATCTGGATGTATATTGGTGATGCAAGTCATCGGCAGTACGCGGCGAAATTGACTCTGGAAGGCCTTAGAATTTGTCATTTCTTGTGTGTATTCATTGGAGATATTGCCACACGACACCTCAATTACAGAATACATTTTGTGGCGCCCGGCTGCCACGTGCTCCAATCTCAGTTGGATATTGTAGGGTTTTTATTCCACCTCATCAAAATACCATCCTATGTTAGACCATATTTTAAACTCATCATCGTTGTGTGGATACCTTTTAAACCAACAATTTCTCACATCGAGAGCGTACAGTCTATACCGCAGCTAGGCCTAGAAAATTATTCAATGAATTCTATGATTTATAGTCGTTTTGGCGGGAAGAACGTACCGTAGATATTATAATATAATATTAATTGATAATACTTACCCGTGTAGTAGGCATGAGGGATTATTTTCTTCACCAGCAAACACAATTTCATGAAGCAGAACACTCTTACAATTTCATATAGATATTACTGCAAACATAAATGCAAGAAACACTAACTTGATGTTGAATGATTTATTATTATAGGTCTATTAGTATATTATATTTTTTGTAGCACAATAGTGAACAATGCCCTACATCCTTCGTCAGTAGATGATCTCTGACGTACACATAGGTCTACCCTTCCACAAGTAATACGTAACACCTACTAAGGTTCCTAAATGTCCACGATAATCTCCCATCTTGTAATGAATATCCGTTAATATTGGAAATCAAAGTTGAAACTCCACTCCAATATTCATCTTGTTTCAGAAACACGTTTTGGGCATTAATTTCTTTAGTTCATATCATACTCCCGTTCATGTATTATGCATTATAACATCTATTGCTGAATACTCAACCACATCATATTTCAATGTACATATACGCGGTGCCGAATATTAGCATTTGCATGCATGCAAGGGTCTTGTACAAAAACGATATAAGAAGACCGCAATCTCACCATATTAAGACATTCGTATGTATAAGCCCGCATTGTTGGAACTTTAAAGTGGCTGTGTCCCAGCGTGCCGCCATCGTATAGGCTAATGTTTTGTGACAAAACAAGTGTTATGCCCATATTTGGGTGTAATATTACATCATCATGGCCATGTATGGACACATCATGGCCATATATGGGCACATCATGGCCATATATGGGCACATCATGGCCATATATGGGCACATCACACATATTTGTCACATAGGCTACAAGTTGATAGTGCTGACATAACTTTACATCATACAGCCCATCATTCTAAGTATGTTTACATTAAACTCACTAGTTGCCAGTTAGCAGTACATGGAGGCTTCAAAACGTAAACGCGGCTGTTCGACTGTATGCCTCATTCTCCTCTTGCGAGAAAAAAGTTTAGCTTCGTCGATACTTGCATGCGTCGTCAGGCCGCGTCAGCCAACGTTATGCTTGTTTCACACTAGAATCGTATAAAACGCATGTAGACACAAACCACGAACAAAAATCGTTACTTGAAATTAGCATGCAACAATTGGCTGACGAGGCTGACGTACGAAATATTCACGACGCAACTAAACTTTTTCACATGAGGTGAAAGAAAACGCTTTAAATTGCTTCAGTGTGAACTGATGCTCGAAATACGCGCACCAGTGTAAAATACATTCGCTTTAAATAAGTTCGCTTATGTGTGAACACGTTTGTGTATATTGGGCCTATTATCATTTATTTATTCAGTAAACCTTCCACCGGTTGTCACCCATTATGCCTAATGGAAAATTTGAAAACCATGGTAATATAGGCAATGTATCATAAGTATGCAGTCGTATATTAATCAGCATATTCTATGTGTGTGAGTGGTTTTGTCTCTTTCATATTCATATACTTTATTACTCTTATGTAAAATATAAAATATACTATACACATTGAAATTGTAGTGTAGGCCTTTTGTAAAATACCTAAAATATATACATAGGACTAAGTGTATATATATATATATATTGTATTATATTATATTATAGTATTTATATTATGATTCATAAGGAGTAGAATTACTTTTTGCCCTAAGAAAAATTCCTGTACTCGTGACAGGAATTGAACCCAGGGGCCATGGGATTGAAAGACAAGCATCACTCTATTCAACTCCACTACAACCGGACATGTAGGCCTATTTTGTAGGGTTATTCTCATTAAATGTCTCAATTTGTCACATGAACAGCATATGAGTAGAGTAACACTGTTTTATGTAGGTTTATTTTAGAGACAATCATTGTTCCTTGTGCAACATCTAGTCCCGAGCGCATAGACACCTCGTTTATTTGCGCTATATAAATCAATCTATTATTATTATTATTATTATTATTATTATTATTATTATTATTATTATTATTATTACAATAGTCATATTATTAACGGCTTGAGTTACACACAGTACAGAACAGTAGGATTAGTG